TCTACATGTGCCAGCTCTTCTTCCAATACTCTAAACATTTCTAAAACTCGATCTTTGGGATAGCCTTTAGTTCTTTCAGCGATGCGCTTTTAATGTCATATATTCTTGCAAAACGACGGCCCCTCTTTATTTTTGGGAATAGGAAAAAGTCAGACAGAGGCATGTCTGGCGAATATGGAGGCTGGGGCATCATTACAGTATTGTTTTTGGCCAAAAATTGTGTTCAAAATTTAACAATTTTGGAACAAATTTTGCTGCCACGCGTTTCATACCCAAAACATTCGAAAAAATTTCATGGGATGAGCCAATCGATATACCAACATCATCAGCGACTTCTCTGATGGTTTATAACCATTTCTTCCACTGTTTCTATGTTTTTCTCGGTTGTTAATGTGCTTGTGCGTTCGGGGCGTTCGTCATCTTCAACGTCTTCACGGCCATCTTGGAAACTCTTATGCCACTTGTAAACTTTTGTTTTACTTATAGCAGACTCACATAGGCCTTTGTTAACATTTCACAGAATTTATTTCATTTTTAAGCAAAATTGGATACAAATTCTTTGATCCATTTCTTTTAACGAACGAAAATCGCCGAGCTCATAAAACACGTCTAACCTTAGCGGCTGCCACAGACAAAGTAAACAATGAAAACAGCTAAAGTTTTTATCATACTTCGGGGGCATGTATAGTATACCAACATAATAAAGAAAATTTTATGACAACCGGACCCATACTTCGGGGGCATGTATACCAACATAATAAAGAAAATTTTATGACAACCGGACCCTCCGAAGCCGCGAAATTTAACAATTCCCGTTATTTCCTGAACACACCTCGTATAAGATTAGATATTTGCAAATTTATTTCCAAATAAATATGAATTCTCTAAATCGGGATATTAAATACCAAGTCAGCATGTTGAATATTAAATAAAAAAATTGTATTAGTAATATGAAACCAATGCATATTCTTTGTTTAGATATTATTAGTATATTAAATACATAAACTGCAGTCATAAAAATCATTATATCACTTCGTAGAAATGATTAAAAAACATTAAGAGAAAATATGTGTCAATAAACTGATTTTGAATTGTTTAAGCGGTTAGTCATTTTTGTGTTAAATATGTGTCACGTATGTAAATTTTGTGAAAATTCAATGAAAAAACAAGTTAATAAAATATGTATTAGTCAAGAAGTTTTACACTTTATATTTAACACAAAATAGCATAAAAGTACAACCCAAAGAATTTACGAATCTTGTAAAATAAAATGATATTGGTATAAATTAGAAATACAAAAACTTGTATTCCTATATCTTGAAGAATTTAATTGAAGCATTTAAAATTCCTCATTCAATACCTACTTGTTATCATAATCAGGTTTTACTTTTAATCTATACATTTTGTTGGTTTATAAAATTAGATCCTTAACAAAAACCTTGTATTATACAAGATCATAAGTAATAACACAAACTGGATTGGTGTAACTTATATGTCCATGACTGTACAACTTTTAGCAAGGGCTCTTGACTCCTTTTATAATTAAATAGACTAATTTAATAGTTATCAGTGGCTTCTTTTTCACTTGTACCATGGTTAACCATGTAATACCCTGGTATCCCAAAATTTAACAGCCAATTCTTATGTAAAATTGTCCCCTGAATCCGAAAATACCGTCAAAAATTATGAAAGTGGAGCAGTTTTGGAGATATAGTTAATTCCATATTAAATGGAAAATTGACTATATCTTAAAAACTGTTCTACTTTTTTAACTTTTGACTTTTTGACTAATTCATCTCCCGATGGTACTTTTGCTGGTGGTTGAAGCAAGATTAGCTTTTGTTTTTTGTTTTTTTTTCTTTAAGAACATAAAAAATACTAAATACTAAAAAGCGTACTCTCTTAAATGAATTAGTCAAAAATAACTAATAATAAGTCATATTTGACTAATTGTCATATCGAAAAAGCAGTCACTAATAACTAGTCAAATTCTACTGAATTAAATAGTCAAATTAGTATATTTAAATTTAAAAAAAGTTTTGACCCAGCCGGGGATTGAACTCAGGTCTGTCACTTGTCAAGCTGTTGTCATAACCCATTCGGCTAACAGCCGCTCTTATAAAAATCAATTTCATTTGTCAATAAATATTGTTCACAATATTTTAAATTTGAATATATTATTAGTGTTGCTGTTTTGAGCTAAACTTTATGCATCTTTATTTGTTTTTATGGGTCATTTAACCATGGAGCAGGTTTTTAATTCAAATAATACTTTGTTGTTGGCCGCAAACGATTAGAGAAATTAGTTATTTTTAACTCTCAAAAATAGTCAAAGATGGTGACTTATCTTATATTAGCTATTTAAAAGTGAAAACGACTATTTTATTAGTAAAAAATGCTGGTACTAATTCAAATAGTAGAATTTTGACTATTTCATTTTTAAAGAGTACATAATTCCAACCATGAAAATGTTTATATGTAGTTTGGTATTTTTTATTAAGTTTACAACAAAACCAGTAAAGCACGTAACTTAAAAAATATATATTAACATACACAAACCAGGTCTTCCTGTGTGGTTGTGATAATTCTGATAAATCCTTGTCATTTTGCGTCATTATAAATTTTACTGTTGGAATGTCTATAATCCTATCCCAATGTAATCAGTTACAGACAGGCCTGGATATAAAGCAGAATTTCGTATTGTAACTTAAGATACGAAAAACATGTTTATAGATTTTAAGCACTTCCTGTTTTCATATCGAATAAGAGAAACAGGTAGCCAGTAGGAAATATGCTGCTCGTTATTATTTATGACTGAAGAGTGATCGTAATTTTATTGCCGACGTTTTTATTGGACTTTTTGTATCGACAAAAGTAAAAAAATATATACTACCTACTTAAAGTTCTTTTCTTTATCTGGACTGCGGCAACGTTGCAAATTTAGGGTTTTGGTTGGTAAATAGAAGTTGGTCGCATTGATTAAAACAAACTAAGCTAATTATAAATCTAATTGTGGTTATATATAGAGATGCGACTTGAAAAAAACGGTCCGTTTTTTTTGTTTTTTTCAGGTTTTATTTCACATTTTAGGTTTTTTTCAAGATTAATTCCATTTGCCTAATTTTTTTATGTTTTCATGGACTAAAATTAGCCACTAAATGACAATTATTAAATGTAAATACAGTCTCGCGTTATGCACTCGCCACAACCACCGATTTGACCAATAAGGGCGGCGCTTGTTTTGATTTGGTCCTAAAAAAGTAACTACATATAATATTTTTGATTCAGCTCTTGATTTTTTAAAAAGCTACCAAAAGCACTTTTTTCATGATTTTTCAAATTTATGTAGAGTATGGAAATTTTTTTTTTTCAAAAAACAATAGCAAATTCTTGTAGAACATTTCTTCATTGGTGGTCAGAACATTCCGTGAACCAAAAAAGAAATAAAAAAAAAATCGATTTTTTTTTATTACGGTATTCGTTAGAATTGAGCGTTACAGAACTTCAAGTTTTATATTGCTTTTTTTACGGCTCCAATACGACCATTTTTAACAGCTATCCGAAAAATCGCAAAAAAAAATTTTCATCCTTTAATCTTTTGTATTAGTGTAGAAGTTTTACGTTGCTATTGGTTTTTTATGTGGAAACTACCAAATATTAAGATTTTTTAGTCTTGGTCAAAATTTTCAATAATGAAAAATGTAATATTCTACATTTTACTCAAAATTTCATTTTGAAAAAAAAACAAAAAAAAACCGTTTTTTTTCTAGTTTTTTTTTCATGTTTTTTCACATCTGAAAAAAAAACGTTTCTTTACATCTCTAGTTATATATAAATTATTGTAGGTTACATTGTGCACATATGATTGTGCAGTTGTCAAGTTGAGTTGTCGAAATTCGTAGTTAAAAATGCAATTAATTTGACTTTGGTGGTGCTTGGATGAGTAAAATCATATAAAAAAGTAGTTAAATATAGGTTGCTTTACGGCCCAGAAGAGAAAGTATTCCTAGCGGATAATAATCTTCGCTTTGAAAAGAATTTATATAAAAGAAATTAAAATTTTTTGTGAACGTAAATGTTGTCCAATGGTGAGTAATGTGAAAATAATGTCTGATGTAATATTTATAAAACCAAATTCGTTACTTTTTTACTCCAAAAATGTCCATAAGGCGATGTACTTTTTCTTCCATTGTGGCATTTGGCATAATTTCATCAAAATGAAGTTTTGCCCTCAAAAGAGCTTTTACATTCGAATTCGTTGCTATTATTTTTGGCATAATTATCTTTTTATTTATAATTGACAAGTAAATTATCAATAATAAATATTATTGTCAATTTGACAGTGTCAAAGTATTTAATTAAATTCTTTAGCAGAAGTACCATTTTTAAATACTAAAAATACTAAGTCAAACTGGCATAAGCCACCAACCTAACATAAACACGAGTCCAGATATAAAAAAATGAACTGTATATAATACCACAAAATCCTAAATTAATTCCCACCTATAGGCCCCTTATTTAACTTAACAACCAAACATAAATTTATTGACAAAAACCGTTCTTAAAAAAAGTAAAATAAGATTTACAAAAGCCATCTGCTGCAAATATACTACTGTAAGCATTGGACTCAACGTAAATTGAAAAGTTATTGGTATAAAAAGCCATGGCCAGACCACTTTTATATTTATCCGCACCTGCGGCTCGCCATTTTTATTAAGCAGATGCAAAATGAAATCTTGTTGGAAAAACATTGTAATATAACCTCTGAAATGTCATTTAAACGTTATGCTATTCTAATAATATTGTTTTTAAAAGGAATTTGTAAGGCTGATGACTTGTGCGGGAATATTTTTAAAGACACAGAGGGGAATATATATTTTTACTCAAACATATCAAATAAGGTATGTAAACTTTACATTTACATTTCGTCCGAAGATATTGCCACGATAAAAATACTGTACACAAATGTACCTTTGGAAATTCAGTACAATAACATAAATATGAAAGTAAACGAATCTAAAATGATGTCTGTAAGGGCTCCAATAATTACAGTCAAGTTCAGTGGAATGGTGAATGGGAAAACCAACATCGATATCGACTATTCAACAAGAAGTAAAACAATTTGTTCAAATTTAGATTACGAATGTCTTGATAAGTCAAACTGTTTCAACCACGATCAAATATGCGACTTCCAGTTTCAATGCAAAGATCATTCAGATGAATTTAGTTGTGGTAATTGTCATAAGAACAATGTCCCATGTAACATAAGTATGATAAACTGCTTTAACTTAAACGATAGATGCAATGGAGTTAATGACTGTCCAAATCATGAAGACGAATTGAACTGTTCTAGATATACTTGCACATCCTTTGGAACGTTTCTTTGTGATAACAAAAAATGCATACTGAGAAGTTTATTGGAGAACGGAGTTGATGACTGTGGAGATAGATCTGATGAATTTTATGCTGATAATTTTATACTGGGCGTCATATTGTTAGCAGCTATACTTTTAACATGCTTATTTTGCACTGTTATTTCGAGATTTTACTCTAGGAGAGATGAAATTAACAGAATACGTCTAAGAAATGTGCCGGAAGAACCACGTGTTCCGTTTTTGGGACCTGGTGAATTCAGAGACTATCAGGTTGGTGGTGAGGTGTATGAAGGTTACGTCCAATCAAGAAGAATGGATGAAATAAGGGAAGATAGAAGAAACCAAGAAAGACGTGAAAATGTTACGGTTATGCCAATAGAGATTAAAGCTGATACTGATGAGGCTGCCTTGGCTGGTCTAGGTGTTCCAGAAAAAGCATTGGAAGAATTACGCAAGAGATCGAAAAGTGTATTGGAGTTTAGGGAAAAAGTGGTTGCAACTTCTAAAAGTAAAAGCGGAAAACCTGGAAAAACTAAAAAAAGATTGTTGGTACACTACAAAGATTCCGAAGATTTGCTAAGGGAATATGGTGAAATAATTGGCGATTCCAGAAACAGTACATTTTTTGTAAACAACAATTACAATAGTGATAGTGAAGGGATGAGTGAATTAGGTTCAGGTGATGATGATGAAATTAACAGACCCAAATATAAACCAAAATTTAAAAAATCAACATTTGTACTAAAGCGGAGTACAGAAGAGAATATGACAACAAATTACAATTATTTGGTTTCCTCACTATCCAACAAATCAATAATAATAAACGAAAATAATGAAGACCATCCACACACTTCAAGAGTTAATTATGGAAAACGTAGACTAAATGAAGCCACTTCAAAAATAATTTTTTCACCTTCATGTGGATTGTTTAATGATCAAGCAAAAATGAAAACATTAGGAACCGCCAGGTCGCTATCTGATTATCACGCTATGAAAAACAAAATTAGATATTTTCAATTAAACTACGATCACGAAATTGAATTAGAACCTGTTGGAGTCGATGTCGAAACGCCTAAAAGTGGACTTGTTTCATTAGACAAAGCAATGTCTAGCCTTGATGTAAAAAGCAAGGAGAAACAAATTGATTTTAGTAGATTTAATGAGAATGATGAGAGCAATGATCTGTAAATTGTTAAATACTTGGTTAAAAGTGTTTATAAACAATGATACGTAATGTGTTAAGCATATGCTATAAAGTTTGTTAGTCTAGAAATATGGTTAATGATTCAAATACAGTTTGTGTAAATATGAATTAATTATTAAAGACTTGTTCGCAAAACCATCCAATTTCTAAAACTGCTGCGTAATGGTTCTATTACAATAAACATACGTACACCAGTGAAGCACAAAAAGAACATTAAACTTGCCTCCTGCATTATTAATTTTCATCTTAAATGTCAGGGGTGCTATAGAATATACAACAACATATAATTATCTTATCATTATCAGCATGTCTAGTATATACATTGTATACTGGTGTTAGCTCAAAATATAAACGATGTTACGCTTATTTAATTTTAGTTTAATATCGTGGAAAAAATATGGTAATTTTACTGACCTATAATTACACAAAATGTTAAACATGATCCTAATTATTAGTTTTCTAGTTTTGTTGAAGAAACAGTCTTTTAAAATATAATTAAATTTTTAGGCCTATCCTGGCTGGTATTAGCCCACCCTGTTATAAACACGGTTTTAATATTACAAAAGAAATTTTATTTAAAAATAGATATTTGCATAAAAACTAAACATCTCCTATGTAATGCGAACACCCAAAAGTTAAAGAAAGTTTCCAGACTTATTTAACTTTACCCATATCCAGGGTATTTTGCACATCGTAGAAATACGAATTTATTATAATCCAGTTTCATCCAGTGGCGGCTCGTGAGGAAGTGCCACGGAGGCTTTTTTTTGTCTTAATACTTAATATTTACGTTTACGCGGTTTATTAAATTAATAAATAGAAAAGCGTGGTTGTGTGTTGGCGTGTGACAATGAAAACATTTTTTGGTATAACTATAGTTGTTCGCTCGAAAAAAACTACCCGAATTAAAAATTGAAAAACAAAGTTAAAGTAGACCAAAATCGCTCTGTCGTAAATTTAATCAAACTTTTTATGATAAAAATAATTGGTTGTGTGGTTTGCTTTTGCACCTTCTCAGATTTATATGAGCCGCCCCTGGTTCATCTAGTACAGGAAGTAGACTTACTTTTCCAAAGGCTTACGTTTAAAGTGTGATTGGAAATTTTAGTTCTAGTCGTGAAGTTTACTTACCTTTAAAATAAAAGTTGTAATCCACCTAAGTATGTATCCTGAAACAAAGTAAAGGAGAATTAAAATTACTATGAACTTCTATTTCAGCAACAAAATTGTTTAAAATTAATTGGTAAAATAAGTTTTGACGAATTTTATTTACCATTTTTCAAAAATTGTGAAAATAATGCCCATCATACACCATAAACTTTTGATGAAAAAATATCTTATTTTTCTTATTGTTTATTTCTCTCAAAAATGACTAATTGTCAGCGAAAAAACAGACACTAATAATTCTCGTCAATAGCAATTTGTATCCCGAACATTTAGCAGTTAATTTCCATGTAAAATTGTTCCCTGAATCCGAAAATGTCGTATAAGGTTAAAAAGTAGAACAATAGAAATATTGAATTGACTATTTCTCAAAAACTGCTCTACTAATTTTTGACGGTTTTTTTTCGGATTCAGGGGACAATTTTACATAAGAATTGGCTGTTAAATGTTGATCATGTCATAGTATCCCATGGTTAACCATGGTATAAGTAAAAAAAGCAGCCAGTTATTAGTGCACTAATAACTCTAGTAACTAGTCATTTTTGACTAATTCATTTTTAGAGAGTAGGTCCACGAAATGTAACCAATTATTACTTACCATCTAAAATAAAATAGTCAAAATTCGACCATTTCAATTAGTACCAGCATTGTTTACCAATAAAATAGTCATTTTCACTTTTAAATAGTTATTTTTTACTACTTAGGGCCGGTTTATCAATGTCCGGTTAAAGTTGCAGTTAGTTATCTGGCAGATAATCTCCATGGATACCATTGTTTTCACAACGGTCGATATGGAATTAAACTGTCAGATAGACTAATTGGAACTAAACCAGAGATTGATAAACCGGCCCTTAAATAGTTAAAGAATGACTTATTTAAGGTAATTCAACAATCTTTGACTGTTTTTAAGAGTAAAAAGTAACTAATTTCTTTAATCGTTTTTAATTCTTGCGTGTAGGCTCGATGGGTAAATGACCCATAAAAACAAACAAAAATGAAAAAAGTTTAGCTCAAAACACTCAAAAACTAGGAAATGGCTTATCCGATTTAAATATTTTTTTGTTTTGTTCGCCTTAATAAAGGGGTTATTTAAATAAAAATACATTAGTAAAAACCGAAAGGAACAGCCGGAAAATCAAAATTCGTACAACTGCGCTTCAAATTAAAAAACATAACCACAAATTCATTCATTCAATTGTTTTCGCGAAATATTAGTTTAAATAGTAAAGTTGTCAATTGTTTAAATTAGTTTAAATAGTAAGGTTCTCAAGGTAAGTTTGACAGATTTGAGCGACTATGAAAACAATTCCGTGTCGTTTTACAGTGTTCAATGAATTGAAGTTGAAAGGTTCATAAGGATTGATAATCGCTTATAAAGAATTTTAGGTGGAAGAAGTTAATAATTTTTATATACCTACATATATAGCTGATTTTTATAAAAAGTGGCAGTGGAGCCTTTTTCGCTATGGCAATTAGTCAAATATGACTTATACTTAATTAGTCATTTTTGAGTAATTCATTTTAATAGAGTACTTAACATCTTTAAAACCATTTTCCAATATATTATCCTCTCTCCAAAAAATATTATGAATTAAATTTTTACCCAAACATGGTTTGCAAACCCATAAAATTTTACCATGTAGGTATATGGTAAATGGTTGCTGTGGAGAAAAAAATATTTCGTTAGAATTTTTACCCAACCAGGGTTTGCAAACCCATAAAATTTTACCATGAGAAAAAAAATATTTCGTTAGAATTTTATTGAAATTCTGAAATTTTGATAGGAAAATACACTTTAATTATATTATATTCTAGGTATATGCTTAACCAAGTAAGTTAACTTATTGCAGTCTATTAAAAGTTGATTGCCAATTTAGCACGATTCCTTCTTCACATAGGAAGTTATTAAATTCTCATGCGTCTAAGAATTACAAGTAAAACGTCATTTTACTTTCCATTTAGGATTCATAAAGCATCAACTCATTTTGGTGTTAGAACAAGGCCGTTTTGCCGCGGCTGAATAACAATTCTCGAAGAAAATGTATTTAGGCGTCAAATATTTCTTTTTCCATTTTAGAACGCAAGGTCGTTTGCAACACGGCCTAAGAACAATCCTCGAGAAAGAAAGAATGAAGAATATGATCGGTAAGCGTGTGTACGATTTGAATCGGCGTTTCGTAATAAGCAACAAATTACCCCGATCGTTTCAGGATTTCGAGAAAAAATCGTCGACAACATTTAAAGATCACGATCGACCTTATGGAAACGCTGCTGTGTGCCGACGACTCAGCACATCTGCTTCTTTCTTAGAACAATGCACTTTAGCTTGATTGGATTTTCACAGAGAAGCGGGTTTTTCGTTTAGTTTTGTTGTTTTATTTTAAAGCGGCTAATTACGTTTCCAACGTACGAAACATTGGATATCTTACAAGATTATGCCTATAAAACAACGTTATGTTTTACCAAATGTAATTTTCATTGCAACAACTAAAAAAACCTCTACACTATAAAGTAAATTTTAGATAGGAAAAAAAATATAGTAAAATTTACTTTAACAAATTTTTAGGGTAACAATATTATATATTCGTCAATACAATATTAAGATTGTAATACAAAATACTATTTTTTATTATACAATTTTAGTAAAGATTACAACACCAATATTACTAAATCATAAATGTATAATATATATTTTAATTTTTAATATGTTCATATAGTAAATTGATTTTACTATCTACAAATAGTAATATTTACTATATGATTTAATTAAATGTAAGGTGTACATCTAATATTATAATATATTACACATTAATAAAAAATATAGTAAAAATAAAGATACTTTTATGTTTAAGGTAAATAAACAATATATTTAAATATAATATACAATATAGTAACTCATGACATTTTAAACATTCGATTTTCTTAGTTTCTTCAATAAACTTTCTTGACCCATAACTGGTAATACTTATAAGAAAGAATTGAACCTACTTGATTGCATAGTATGTACCGATTGCGGCAAAGGCAACGTCGCGACGCGTCGTTAGACGGTGTGGATCACGTGATGTTCTCACATCTCGCCTCTGTTGGCTTACCAACAATGTTATATAAGCTCAGGTATTTCTTTGTTTTGGGTGTTCCACTACTACCCAATATAGGTCAAAACACCTGTCTGTCGGTATTTGAAGTTGATGGAACGAACTCAAAACAAAAAACTTTGGCGAGGTGTAGGTTCAATTCTTTCTCATAACATTTTTGTGTATTAAAAAGTACAATAAATATGTTACAATTTTTAATTGTTAACATATAAAAATATTAAAATATTTTATATTTAAAATGGCAACATAATATTTTAAAATTTACTATACTTATTAGTAATGGAAAAAATCTAATTATAATAAGAGTTAAAAACTAAATTGGTTGAGAATAATATTATTTTACCTTAAGGTTTAACATACATGGATATTTAAAAATTATAATTTTAGTATACTAAATATGCATAGTATCTGGCAATATACAAAATAGTTGTCCCAAATAGTAATATAAATTATAGTAAAGGGTATTATAATTATGGTAATCAGCTTTTCTCTCCGTGTAGAAGAGAAAGAGAAAAGAACTAAATTTTTTCCAACGAAATCTTCAAAATTCCTTGGCACTAAACAGACAAGGCACTCATATCCCAAAAACATAGCACCGTATTATTCAACGTTGAAGTGTTAAAATACGCTTTCAAAAATTTCACCACGCTAGATTAGAACAATAAGTTCTATTCACTTGCGGTATCAGAAAGATATTTTAATAGATTTGTTATGAACGCTTGCCTGTTTTGTATTTAGTTAATGAGAAACTGTTTATCTGACAATGATATTGTTTATCAATTCCCTTTATAATTAAAAGTGGTTTTGGAATTTTTAATAGGTGATTATCAGGTTGAAGCGGAAAGAAGCTATTAATCAGTTACACAATTGTTGTATTCATTGGATCGCATAGAACTTAAACTAAACATAATTTTTTATGCTTCAAGGTGGGGCACAGGTTTAGAAATAATATTAAAAAATATAATTTTTAAAATAAAACATTTTTAAACTCGCACTGTACTGTCGTACGCGAATACAGGGTGTTCAAGAGTCCACAGTAGAGGTGGGCCGGTTTGCGATTTTTCAAGAGCTGCGATGCAATGCGACTGCTCCGGCCGGAACACTGTGACAAAAAGCAGCGATATTTCGAAGCAATGCGATTTGCGATGCTCCAGAGCAGTTTTGTTTGAGCAGTGCCAAGGTAAAAGCAAAACACTGGCGAAAGTGCGAACGGCGAAGCAACTAGAGATATGCGATATTTCACGAACTGTGATTTTTTCACTGATATTTAAAAATCACGAATAACGACTGCTACTTACATCTATTAATTAGCGTGATCTGTGATTTTTCACTCAGCGATATTTTACGAATTGTGTTTTTTCACTGATATTAAAAAGTATTAAATAACAATAAACCGTGAGTTGCTATTTATCAAAATAATTTTTTTCACTGATATTAAAAAGCATTAAAAAACGATAAAACCTTAAATTGCTATTTATCACAATAATTTAACATATTATTTAACATAGTATTTTCGGCCGCAGGCAAACCTGCCATTACTGGCAAAAATAGAACAAAAAAATTTGAAATAGTTTTTTTAAACGCCCGTATAAATAAGATTTTAAATGCCCGTAAGTATTAGGACAGCATAAAGTCGAATAGGTCTGACTGCTGCTGAAGAGAGCAACAGCGACGACATGGTATAATTAAAATTTTGGAGCAATTTAAATTTTAAATTGCTCCGAAATGTCGCTGCGATTTTTATTGCCGCGGAGCAGTTTGCGATTGCGACGCCACCGGAGCAGTGACAAAGTAGCAGTTTGCGAAATCGCAACACACCTCTAGTCCACAGGCCATGATGGCGACTGAAAGTCAAATGCTATGAACCAAGGGATCAGTCCACATCTTGTCTAGTGCTCTACCTCACCCTG